AAAGGGGTTCCCAATTTCTCTTTTAAAAGAGCCCGAAGCCTCCTTCTAGCTCCTTCCACTCCCCCTGACCCCCCTCATACTCGCTTCCCCGGGCCCGAACCTAGGAAAACCTGGGTTTTTTCTTTGAAGCATAGAAAAAATTTTTTGAATCAAAACATGCTAAAAATTATCTTCTTGATTATTAAAAATTGGTTTTCATTTTTACCTTGTCAAAGTTCCTCTGCTTCTTGTCGGGTTGGCGGCCATTGCTTGGCTCTCTCAACATCAATCATTGGGCCCTCCCCTCCCCTGCAGCCTCGCTTGGTCTTCTCCAGGGAGGCCCTTGGGGTTTGGTCGCCTCAAGGTCTCCTAGCCTCCTCAAGCGGGGCCAGCTTTTTCCTGTTGTAAAAACAAGGGTTTTTTTTCGGTTGAAACTATGTTAAAATTTAATTTTGACGTAACTTTCTCAATCCCCCTACCCTTTTCCCCCTCCACCCCTATATTTGATTTTGCTGTTTGCGTGCACTCACTTGGCCCCCAGTTCCTTGTGCCCCTGGATGGCATCATTTTCATACTTGTCCTCCACTAGCCCCTCACTTTTTTGGCCTTTTGACTGCCCGCGTTGCCTCTGCCTTGGCCCCCGCTCCCCCTCAAACTGCTCCCTAAAGGGTCACAGTCATGGCGGGCGACTGAACACCTGGGCCAGTGCTTTTTACCTTGAGAGAGAAAGCCCAAAAGAGAATTCGAGAATACCCAACAAATCATATAAAAGACTCTACGGGTGGGCATAGTCACCATCTATATGAAGATATGGCTCTAAACCTGTGGTCGGGTGGGAGTCCATTTTGGGTCCCTTACCTTGACCTCCTCCTCAAATCGCCCTCGTTCACAGCTCCTCCACCTGCTGGGTGAAGGCCTGTTTTCCTTTCCTCTGGTCACTGAGACACCAGGGCTTTCCTTCTCCTCCAGCTGGCGGCCAAACTCACCTGCAGGGATAGAGGGATATCTAAGGTAATAGGGTCTCTGTTCTCTAAGATTGAAAATGTATTTGGAGGTATCATAGGGCAATGTTAGGTGGGTCTCCCGAGTGGCGCAGTGGTCTAAGGCACTGCATTGCAGTGCTAGCTGTGCCACTAGAGATCCTGGTTCGAATCCAGTCGTAGCCGGCCGCGACCAGGAGATCCATGGGGCGTGCGTACATTGGTCCAGGGTAGGGGGAGGGACTGGCCGGCCGGGATGTAGCTCAGTTGGTAGAGCATGGTGTTTGCAACGCAGGGTTGTGGGTTGATTCCCACGGGGGGCCAGTATAAAAAAAATTATGTATGCACTCACTAACTGAAAGTCGCTCAGGATAAGAGCGTCTGCTAAATGACTAAAATGTAAAATGTGAATAGTACAGTAGAAATTATGTGGATACAGCCCCCAACAATGTATTGTGTTCTACTGAGGAAAGCATTGGGTTGTAGTTTAATTGTTGATGGTACCATTTTCTGGTCAGGAGTCTGGCCCTCTGTCCGCTGATGTCGTTGGACCTGGCGAACATTCTCATCATTCTTAGTCTGAGGCTCGCTCAGCTGGTCCTCAAGTGTACGACACATCTTCTCCAGATTGCCCTGTTAGTGAAACATGTACCATCATTACTTCATATATGGGACTCCTGTTAACTTCAGTTCACTTGAATGGTAATGTAGTTGACACTCCTCAAACAATGCTTGACCAAAACATCACTACTCACCTTAGCCTTGGCGACGGCCTCCATGTTGCTGGAGAGGTCATCAATCTCCATCTTGTACTTCGCTCTTCTCCTTCTCCAGCTTCTGCTTGACGCGCTGCAGGTTGTCGATCTGCTCCCCGAGCTCAGCCACACTGTCGGCCTGCTTCTTTTCGTCAGAGCGGCGGCTGTGGCCTCGTGCTGCAGGGTGGACTCTTCAAGATCACGACGCAGCTTCTGGAACTCAGCCTCACGCTTCTTGTTCATCTCAATCTGAGCAGCAGTGGCGCCTCCGGCCTCCTCCAGCCTCTCGCTGATCTCCTCAAGTTCCCTGGAGAGATCGGCCCTCTGCTTCTCAACCTTAGCCCTGGCAGCACGCTCAGCCTCAATTTCCTCCTCCAGCTCCTCAATACGGGCCTAGAACAGGGGGCAGAAGCAGGGGGGATTAACACTACAATACAGTTGAAAAAATTGATTCTCAAAAAATAATAATAGTGCATTCAGAAAATATTCAGACACCTTTACTTTTTCCACATTTTAATACGTTACAGCTTTATTCTAAAATTGATAATTTTATTTTTTCCCTCATCATTCTACACACAACACCCCATAAAGACAAAACAAAAACAGGTTCTTTGAATTTTTTTTGCAAATGTATAAAAAAATAAAAATAACTGAAATAGCACATTTACATAAGTATTCATTCAGAACCTTTACTCATTACTTTGTTGAAGCACCTTTGGCAGTGATTACAGCCTCGAGTGTTCTTGGGTTGTTTCGATCGGGTTCAAAAATGACTACTTAAAAAAACGGAGATGCCTATTCTGTCACAAACGCCATAATGGCACAGACACAAAGATGAGTCCTCTATCTAACTCGATGGAAGCACCATCTTTACAATGGTAGGAAATGTCAGCAAGAAACACCTACCGAGCCATCAGAAGTCACATGGACAAATGTGTCCGTTTATTTCAGGAAATTATTCAGTGTGTCTGGAGCTTAGATCCTTTGATCTTGTACTGTACCTGGAGTTCCTTGATCTTCTTCTGCAGCTGAGCTCCCAGAGACTGCTCATCCTCAATCTTGCTGAGGAGCTGAGTGGTCTCAAACTCCTTCCTAAAAAACACAAACACGTTGATTGCAGAGTTGGATTAGGTTTGAGAGTGTAAAAGGAGTCTAATACCATTCATGTTGCTTTTAAGAATCACATGCAAATGCTAATTCATAATTAATCAAGAACAACCATTATAGCAGCTGATACTGTAGTCATTTGTTTGTGTTTACTTCTTGATTTTCTCATCAGCCTGCTGCTTGTCATTCTCCAGGTCCATTATGGACTCCTGGGCCAGTTTCAGATCTCCCTCCAGCTTTCTCTTGGATCTCTCAAGGTCCATACGGAGCTTCTTCTCTTGCTCCAGAGAACCCTCAAGCTATAAGATAAAAACAAATATATTGTTAAAATCTAAACAAATGAAGATAATATCATCTTGCACACTATCATGGCCAAAATGTCAAACTCCACTCACGTCGTCCACTTGCTGTTCCAGCTTGGTCTTGGCCTTGGTCAGAGTGTTGACTTTGTCCTCCTCTGCCTGCAGGTCGTCCAGTGTCTGCTGGTGGGCCTCTTGGAGGGCTTTCTTCTCCTTGGTCAGCTTGGCAACACTCTCATCCATAGATGCCATCTCCTCTGTCAGGTTTTTAACCTGAAAATGGTCACAACATAATTATACTTCACCATAAAGGGGAGATTTAGTTTGTTATATATTGCATTCATTTAAATTAGAAATGTGTCAACAAGTACTGTACTATAGATTCAACACTAGATGGCAGTGTACACTATGCCAGTGTACTGAGTGGAAGTCATAAATGAGTGGGGAGCAGAACATGCAATGAATGTGGTTGAGTACCCCGCAACTGAAATTCCACTGTTGTGTCTTAATTTTTCCTGCACCCACAATACAACTTGAATTCCATTATTGTTAAGCTATGTTTTGAGTTGATTATTGTTTGGATTATTGTTTGGTTAGACTGTCTATGGTAAGACACTAGACCTTGTTTTCAGTGGCGTGCTTCTCCTTCTCCACTTTGGCCAGGGTGAGCTCCAGGTCATCAATGTCCTTCTTCAGCTCAGAGCACTCATCCTCCAGCTTCCTCTTCTTGGCAGTCAACTCAGCATTGATCTCCTCCTCATCCTCCAGCCTCTCGGTCAGCTCTTTGAGTTTGGCCTCCAGCTGGATCTTGCTCTTGATGAGCCCCTCGCACCTTTCCTCAGCATCGTTCAGATTTTCTGAATCCTGGTTTCAGAGCAGGAGAAAAGATCTGCGGCCTCACTTTGTGTATCAAAATATACACTTTAGTCAAAGAGGTCAGAGCAAATCAATAGAAATTCATGAAATAAATACAGCATATTACATTGGCAATAGAAATGTTATGAGTTTGCCACATACTTTACAGTGTGTGTGTGTGTGTTCATGTGTGTATTCATTTGTGTGTAAATGTACCCATATGAGGGTTGTTGTTCACTCACAGATGCAACTTGGAGCGCCAGGTCATTCTTCTCCTGCACCAGGGACACCAACTTCTCCTCCAACTCCTTCTTCTTGGCCAGAGCCTTGGCCAGGTCTGTCTTCATCTTCTCATAGTTCTCCTTCATGTTGGCCAGCTCCTTCTCAGTCTCAGCGCTCTTCAGCAGGGGCTTGATCTTGTAATAGACCTTCATCCATGGCCAGTGTTTCACATTCATGAATGAGCGGACGTTGTACTGGATGGTGTAAATGGATTCTCTGGTCGACAGAAAGGATATAGTGGCATGGTGAGTGACATGCTTAAAGCTACATTCAGGGATTAGAAGAACAACAAAATGGAACGCCCCGAACTCTAGATGCAAGGATTAACAGGTCATGCATGTTAAGCTCATGAGGCATTTTATGTTCTTCAAGAATGAATAGGTAAATACCACACATTTAAAAGACAATTGAACAGCTTGCTAAATGCCAAACTGAAGCTATAAAGATATAATCCTTAATTGCTACATTTTGGATTTATAAATTAATTAACCCCAAATATAAGCTTGTTTTACTACAATGTTTGCAAACAATGTAAATGGAAACAAACACTGTATGGACTCAAAACAAGCTTAAAACTATCACCATATCTCTGTCTACCAATTAGAGAATAGTTGCAATGCTCCAGGCCCATCCCACAGCTGTATACCAAAACAGAGGCGGGGTTGCCACTTTGTTAATGTTTCAATTAAGGATTCTAGCTTTAATAGAGCATTATAAGATGAACTTTCTTATTCTGAACAACTCACAGCATATACAGCATGTAATCATAATGCATTAGATACAGGTGGTTGACAGTATGCTTTGCCAAGATGTCCACTATTCCTCACCTCCTCTCCATCATCTTGCTAAACTCTCTCCTCATGAGGAATCCACGGCTGAGAGCCTGGAGCATGCCGACCAGAGAGGCCAGCTTCTCATCTCTCATCTCCTCCAGGACACCCAGAAGACCGGCTTTGAAGAACACCTGAGACACAGGTTAACATGGTCAATGGAACCACAGATGGTGACAGATAGAAAGGGTTGAATCAAAAGAGGGGAACAACTCCACTAGATTGATTTGACAACATTAACTTTGCAATGGTTACAAACAAACCATGGGATAGGATGTTTCTAAGTTGTTAGTTACTCTACAGTTGTAGATTAATAATGTCCACAGATACAGATAACTGCAGCCATACCACTCTAACACAATGCACATGATAATGAGTTTAGTTTCTCTTCTATACTTGTATGACTTTGAAGAAAAAAACACTACAATGTTTTTCCACCTTTTCCTTTAGTTAAATGAAGAAGAAAGAACAAAAGGATGGATAGATCAACTGGAGAGATTTTATATGGTAAGGGTTTAAATGATCATTGAAGTAGTGTTTTGTTGTCAGCTTTTGCTGGGGGGTATTTGACTGACCTTGGTGTGTCCAAACTTGTAATCTTCGTGATTCACATCAATGGAACCAAGCAGCTTCTCAGAAGCCTTCTTGTTGTCCATGAACTGGCCCTCGGGGATGACACTGGCATTCAGTACTTTGTACCTGAATGAGGAGACAGTTTTAAAGTATGCCAAGCTGTAATAGGTTGGTTATACAGTGAGGTCATAATTATAATTATTACAGTGAGGTCACCCTTGATGAAGATGAGCAAAAAACACTAAACAAATCAAACAAAATTATATTATTTTAACTCTCTTTCTCTGAACAATTGTATTAGTATAAAATAATATAACTGTCACAAATGTTTGACCATACAATATAGTTCAGTATCTTTATTATACATTTGATACCAGTCTTTTCTGCTCATCTTAGCAAGAGTGCCAGTCATTTTGGACCTGACTGTATTACTTATAAGGTAAGACTATTCTGATGCTGGAAAACCCTTGGAGAAGATCTCTCTGTGATTGTGTGCATTTGCGTATTTGTGTTTAAGTGCGTGTACCTCTGCTTGAAATCAGCATAAAGGATTCTGCTGGGGAAGCCCTTTCTGCAGATCCTGATACCCTCCAGTACACCATTACACCTGAGCTGGTGGATAACCAGGAAGTTCTCCATCAGACCTGGTAAAACAAACCAAGTCTCTTTTAATACACATAAACAGGTTAAAGATTGAGATTGTTAAAGTCACTGATACTGTACTGATAAGATGTACATATTTAACTCAATATTTATTGTACCTGGAGTCTTTGACTCGTTGGGGATCAGGCAGCGCACAAAGTGAGGATGAGTGCTCCTCAAGTTGGTCATCAGCTTATGTAAGTTCTCCTGTAAGAGGGTTACAAACCATTTTCTCAGACATCATTTATGATATTCAATGCACCTTTTGAAGGACTGAATATACACATTTCAAAAGCTCACCCTGAACTGGGAGGACACAGTCTGCATGGAACCACCCTTCTTCTTGCCTCCTTTCTTGCTTGTATCTGTTCAAATGGGGAAAAGTTCAAGATAACTAGAAAAGTACATTTCCTAGAGCGGGTGGAATAAATAGAATAATAATAAGAGTATGTAAGAAATCTAGAGTGGTCTTGTCTTCAGCAAGCACATTAATTATAAACCAGAGAATCTCTGGTTAACTTATCACACTTATCTAGATGCAAATGCGACCAATGAGATTTGTGTAAAATAACACCTATTATATAATTAAATTAAAGTTGCACTATGCAGAAATCTCTCCGCCATTTCCTGGTTGCTAAAACCTATGTGAAAAAAATTAACTAGCATAGTTTAGAGAATCATTGTACCAGCTAAACCGCTGTGAAATATATTTTCTATAACCAAAAATATTGTTGTTTCAGCTGTTTGAAGCTGGTGTACAAAACCGAAAGTAAAAGATGCAAAAACAAACGAATAACGGGAAGCATAGAACAAATCTATCGCTTCTTAGACTTGCTTTCAAGTAGAATGAGAGATCTACAACTCACATTTTCTATGTGCATTGGTGGGGCTGCCCAAAAGTTACATATTGCCACTTTAACCGAGAGCATGAATAAATTAACCCAGTGATAAACCCTGAGAAAATTGTGATACAATTGTGATACATTCAAAGCTATTTTAAAGAAAATGTGGGTCTGAGTTGTAGCTAGTGCCTTGTTAAATATTTTGACCTGATACTTACCCTCTGGTGGGGCAGCGGGATACAGGGCAGCCAGGATTTTGACTCCAGACTTCCCGTATAACTGACAAACTGAGTCGTTCAGGGGGTCCTTGTTCTTCTCCAGCCAGCCAGTGATGTTGTAGTCCACAGTACCGGCGTAGTGCACCAGGGAGAAGTGGGCCTCTGCCTTGCCTTTGGCAGGCTTGGGCTTCTCAAACGCCTTGTTTTTCCCAAGATGCTGGTCATACAGCTTGTTCTTGAAGGAAGTGTCTGAAGACTTGGGGAACATGCACTCCTCTTCAAGGATGGAGAAGATGCCCAATGGCTTTACGAAAAGAGATGTATATCAAATTAGTGATATTTACATTTAGGATCACATTTATTCCTTTAGTAAACATGCTATTATAGGATTATATTAATTTAGAGGCACATAATAGGAAACATATTGAGTTCTCAACAGTCAGATGCGTTGTAAAACTGTGATAATGTCTCACACAGCGCTCCCTATGAGCTTTGCTGTTGCGGTCCAGTATAATCCTCACAGACAGTTTACCTTCTCAATAAGCTCAATGCAGGCAGCCAAGTCCATGCCGAAGTCAATGAAGGCCCAGACGATTCCCTCCTTCTTGTACTCCTCTTGCTCCAGGACGAACATGGTGTGGTTGAAAAACTGTTGCAGTTTCTCATTGGTGAAGTTGATGCACAGCTGTTCCATGCTGTTGTACTGTTGATGGAGTTTTAAAAGGGATAATTTCATCATACAAGGCTGTAATCCATCTCAATCACAACTAATTGTCTAGTTCTGGTCTCATACTCACATCAAAGATCTCAAACCCGGCAATGTCAAGCACACCGATATAGAACTGCCTTGGCTGCTTGGTGTCCAACATTTCATTGATACGGATGACCATCCACAAGAACATCCTCTCATAGATAGACTTGGCCAGAGCGCTGACTGAGTTATTAACCTGCAATGATAACACCTCAAATTAATACAGGAGATATTGACCATGTCTAGTGATATGGTGATACGAGCTTGGGAAAAACAAAAGCAATGCACTTGTCCCCAAAATAATTATGCTCAGAAAATGGTGGAGGTTGCCGCCTTACCTGAGCCACAGTCTGTCCCTTGGTCACATACTCGTTGCCGACCTTCACTCTGGGGTAGCACAGAGCCTTCAACATCTCAGCTGAGTTCAGGCCAAGCAGGTAGCCGATTTTATCAGCCACTGGAGAGAGAACCAACAACAACAGACTCAGGGACACAAGATCACTTTGTTTTTAATGTCACACTGTCAAAATAGTTTGGCTAACTTCTTTGTGAGTTAGGTTTTGATTCACCCACATCCATCATTTCAAATCATTTCTGGAGCTCAGAATTTGTTCTCCAAAAATGATCTCCTGCATCACTTTCATGTGGCACTGTCTGTCTTACGTGTTCTATTTCTATGTTTGGGAATGGGACTAATGCTTTACATATTGTATATCTATGAGTGGGACTGGGAATGGGACTAATACTTATATATTGTATATCTATGAGTGGGACTGGGAATGGGACTAATGCTTTACATATTGTATATCTATGAGTGGGGACTGGGAATGGGACTAATGCTTTACATATTGTATATCTATGAGTGGGACTGGGAATGGGACTAATGCTTTACATATTGTATATCTATGAGTGGGGACTCACCCTCTGTGCCGTCTGGCTCGGCCTGCTCCTCACGCTGCTTCTGCTTGAATTTCATGTTGCCATGGTGCACTACAGCTCCTGTCAGCTTGTAGATGCCAATCTTCTCATCGTTACTGAAGCCCAGGATTGTAATGGCATCCTGGCATTAAAGAGGAAGTACAACAGTGATGAACTGAACGGTAGTTTGCTCAGTTACACTACAGTTCTGTGCTGCTCACTGCAGAAACAATGGGATGGATAGATTTGAAAGGCTTCTCTGTTCCACATGATAACGCTTGGCCAAACACACTAGTTGATGGCAGCACAAAAGGAGTTTTACACAGCTCCAAAGGAAACTTAGTGGTGCTCTCTTGTGGATGTCTTACATGTATTAGCCTCAAGGCTAAGTGTAAAGGCATGAAGAGTTCCTTGAGGCACATGCCTAACTAACACAAGGCATTTAGAATCAAACAAAAACATACATGAACATTCCCAGCTTCCACCAAGTTGGAATTTCACAGTGCATTCAGTGTGTTTGATGGTCATTCCCTTTCTATATCTAGAGTTTGGTTAACCCTTTGTTTGACTCACGTCTGTGGCATCCAGCTCTTCCTTGTCGTCGATGCTGGCCACAGCGATCTGACCCTGGCTACACATGGGGAAGTCGTAGGGGTTGGTGGTGAGGAGGGCCATTTCTGTGGACAACAGAGAATGGCTTGTCAGTTAAATCTCTTAGAATTGTGCTCTCCTACCTTTACAGTATCTCTCTCTCCTTTACTCAATAGATGGACTCAAGGATACATGTAGTATATAATAAATAGCATCAAAAGAGGGGACAAAGACTTGTGGACTAGTGTGATCACAGTGCATCACTTGATACATCTTTCCCAAAGATGTAATAGTATTATCAGTGTAGATTATGAACATGTTTAATAAGTTCCACAGATGGGGGTGGGAAGAATCTCCCATGAACCTCTTCTTTTCGTACCAACTATCTCAGGTTTGTGGCCTGTCATCATCTGGAAGAAGATGTGGTAGCCTCTCTCATCGGGCAGCTGGAAGGACACTCTGGACTTCTCCAGCAGGTCTGAGGGTGAAAGAGAGAGCGAGAGAGAGAGAGAGAATTTGAATATGTGATCCCCCCAAAAATATTCTGTGAATTTAGGAAAGCATTGAGAAACAATCAAAACCAACTCACAGGTCTCAATGTCAGCTTTAGCCAGTTTACCACCTTGGAAGTGAATCCTGATGAATTTACCCTATAGTAGAGCACGGGGGTTAGAAATAGGTCAACAAAATAAATCTAACATTTTACTTTGATGGACCCCTTTAAATGTTACAGGTTGTTGGACATCTATTGACATATCAATAGGGAACTACTGAAACACATGTGTCCAATATAAGGTCACTTCCACAGTATGCCCTTCATACTTACAAAGCGAGATGAGTTGTCGTTCCTCACTGTCTTGGCATTACCGTAAGCCTCCAGCAGAGGGTTAGCTGCAATGATCTGATCCTCAAGAGACCCCTGATTGAGACAAACACAAGTTGCTCAGAAACTGGTAAAGTAATTTTTTCTTGGAATGTGTTAAAAAGGCAAACATGAGCCCAACCTACCTGCATTTTGCTGGGGTCTGCTTCCTTCTTCTTCTCGCCACTAGACACTGCAATGGTGGCGAAGTACTGGATGACACGCTTGGTGTTGACAGTCTTTCCTGCACCGGATTCTCCACTGGTTTATATGACAGAGAAAGAGGGGTGTTTGAGTGTCAGATTGGCTTTCACTAAGAAATAGCATAGAAAAATACACTGTTGACCTGTTTTCTAACATAAGAAAATCCTGTGTGGCTTAGTTGGTAGAGCATGGTGCTTGCAATGCCAGGGTTGTGGGTTCAATTCCCACGGGGGACCAGTATGAAAAAGGATGCAGTCACTCTGGATTCTAAATGACAAAAATGTAAATGAACAAATATTCATTATTAAGCCTAATCATCACTTATTTTCATCCCATTGGGAACGGACGTCAATTCAACGTCTGTTTCATGTTGGTTCAACATTGATTTAACCAGTGTGTGCCCAGTGGGAAGTGACCCAACATATTGCTAAAAGTGTAATATTTGTAAAAAACTTACGTAATCAGGATGGACTGGTTCTCCTTATCTGTAACCGAAATACATATTGCTTATCGTACTCAAGTAACATTATGGGGACATTATTTCATTCATAGCATCATCATGCATTTCATTTTGGAACATTTTTTCATTCATTGGTAGTGAAAACAAATATTCCCAGCAAACTGTTATTACCTAGACTAGAAAACAGTAGATACCTCTCTAAAGCATATTTTAACTTCCATTGATGCATCCATCCATCTATCCATAAGCACCTTATGGACTTTGAGATCCATATGCAATCATGGACGTCCATCCATCCAACCATCCACCATCCATCCATCCATCCATCCATCCATCCATCCATCCATCCATCCATCCATCCATCCATCCATCCATCCATCCATCCATCATCCATCCATCCATCCCATCCATCCATCCATCCATCATCCATCCATGAGAGCTCGTACCAATCAGCATGAACTGAAAGGCGTTGTCAGAGACGGAGAAGATATGGGGTGGAGCCTCCATCCTTTTCTTCCCTCTGTAGGCGTTGACAACCTCTGCGTCGTACACGGGGAGCCACTTGTAGGGGTTCACCGTGGCACAGAAGAGCCCAGAGTAGGTCTGGATGAAAATTAAATTAGGGGATTAGTAAAGTCAGATTGACTTTTATCAGGATTTATGTGAGGATGTGGGAGTACTTTGGTATACTGATGTATTGATTTGGTTTGGTTTCTACCATTAATTTATGTATAGTACTGTATGTGTGTATTTCTTCTGTTCATATACAGTACCAGTCAAAAGTTTGGACACACCTACTCATTCAAGTGTTTTTCTTGATTTTAACTATTTCCTACATTGTAGCATAATAGGGAAGACATCACAACTATGAAATAACACATATGGAATCATGTAGTAACCAAAAAAGCGTTAAACAAATCAAAATATATTTTATATTTAAGATTCTCACAAAGACACAGCAGTTGGAACCAAAGATCTGTGTTTCTTGGCCCAAGCAAGTCTCTTCTTATTATTGATTTCCTTTAGTAGTGGTTTCTTTGCAGCAATTTGACCATGAAGGCCTGATTCACTCAGTCTCCTCTGAATAGTTGATGTTAAGATGTGTCAGTTACTTGAACTCATTAAAGCACTTATTTGGGCTGCAATTTCTGAGGCTGGTAACTCTAATGAATTTATCCTCTGCAGCAGAGGTAACTCTGGGTCTACCTTTCCTGTGGCGGCCCTCATGAGAGCCAGTTTCATCATAGCGCTTGATGGTTTTTACGACTGCACTTGAAGAACTGTCGATGTGCCCTTGAGCAAGGCACTTAACCCTAATTGCTCCTGTAAGTCGCTCTGGATAAGAGCGTCTGCTAAAAAACTAAAGAAAAATAACCTTTTCAAAGTTCTTCACATTTTCAGGATTGACTGACCTTCATGTCTTAAAGTAATGATGGACTGTCGTTTCTCTTTGCTTATTTGAGCTGTTCTTGCTATAATATGGACTTGGTCTTTTACCAAATAGGACTATCTTCTGTATACATAGTTTGTATGTCTTCACTATCATTCTACAATGTGAAAAATTGTAAAAATAAAGAAAAACCCTAGAATGAGTAGGTGTGTCCAAACTTTTCACTGGTACTGTATATGTGTGTGTTTGTATGTGCAGGTTTCTTACATAGATCATCCATGCTGCATAACGCTCTTTGAGGTTATACAACACAGAGGCTTCATTCAGGTAGGTCATCATGGCCATGTCCTCAATCTTGTCATACTTAGGGGGATTCATCTCGTAGATGTCTGCATCTTTGAACTCTTTTCCTTCCTGAAACAGTCAGAAATCTAGATTACACACAGATCAAAGTGGACATGACTGAATGCGTTTTGCTCATGAAATCCAAGTTGAATCATTTAAATAATGCATATCCACATTTAATCAACTACTTTGTTATCAGCCACTGAAAAATGACTGGTGATTCTTGACTAGTCAATGTTTTAAGGATATATACTGCACACAAATAAACAATTAAATGCTTCTTAATCTATCTTTTGTTAATTATGTCTTATTGCCTATTGGCATTTTTTCATATAACTTAGATGATTTTTCAATAAATAGAGTAATTGCACAAACTTGAACTTGAATACTTTTCAGATCAGGCTTACCTCCTTAGTGCCGTCAGGTTTGGTGACTGTTACAGTACACTTCCCATCGGCCCTGGCAGTGACCAGACCCTTGAGGTACAGCTCTGCCTTGTCTGTCACATAGCAGGAGTTCTTTGAATCAAAGGGCATGGCTTGTGCCTCCATCCTCTCCTTCTCAGACTTACGGAGGTATATGGCAGCCTTGCCGTAGATTTCCATCTCAGCGTCCGTACTCATGGTGACGGATCACTAGGAAAGAGATGAAACAAGAAACATGATTGACTCTGCTTCCTCCCCAGTCAACAGAGTTAGGTGAGCAGTATCTCTCCAAATATTCTCATTACTTTTTATGTGAAGACTCAAACCATGTCTCACCTTCTTTTTCCCCTTCTACAGATGAATGTGTACTTCTTAGAGGACCCTGTCAAACATTAGGGTGTTGTGAAAACACACAAGTCTAAAGCCTTATCATTTAGCACCCAAAGGGCTAGAAAACATTTAACTCAATCATTACTGCCATGTCAAATTCAACTACACGTGGAACTGATAACTTTAAACCCAGTTAAATTCTAGAGCACACCCTCAATTTACATACAAATGCAGGAGCACCACTTTTGACCGTAAATAGAAGTTACAAATTTGAATTAAAACGTTTAAAGTTAAACACATTTCAAAACTACATTTAAAACCAATGCCACTTGATTACATATTGTCGAATCTTACAAGAGACATGCAGAACTCAATTCAAACAGTGCATTAAGCTAATGCCACTGAGTACAAAGATGAGACAAATGTAAAAAATTAAAGATGAGACAAATGTAAAAATCTAAGGAGGTGGAGAGGTCTTACCAAAGAGGAAGAAGGTATCTGACTTATGGATGCTGGGGCCCCAGCCTCCTTATATCTGGTTGGAAGTGCCAACCAAGCAGAAGTTAATTATGGACCACTCTGGGGAAGGACATGGACTGTAGGAGAGACCTCCCCCCCAGACCTGTGTGTCTGTCCCTAACTAGCACCTCCCACTTCCAGGACCACCACACTCCCATTACATTACTGTTTAATGTCAGATTTGTCCCTTCATTGAATTTTACTGAATGTACATAAGATATATTTCATTACTAATAGTTATAACAATATCAGAAGTTTGATTTATCAAATGTATTCCAATGTTACTACCACTGACCCTCAAATACTGTAATGGAGTGAGTCCATGTTGCCCCACTACCACTAAAATAGTTTTCATGAATTCTAATCTGACCTTTTTTAGTTCCATTTTAGTGGCATTAATCCTCATCAAAAACGTTATATATGTTCACCTATTATTTATATTATTTAGCTTGGAAACACATCTGAACTGTCTCCTCACCTCACGCTTGTGACAGAGTTGGCCTTTACCTCGTGCTTTGCTTAGTTTGATTAATTACCCTGGTAGAACCATATTAAATGAAACTAGAACAGATTTTAGGCTTTCAATAACAGCTTATAAAATTGTTAAATCTAAATGTGTATTTATGTACAATATGATCTAATGAAGATTCAGGTGGAGCTTTTATTTGTCTCACATTTCAGTTGGCTAAAACGGTCCAGTAGGATTCTTATGACTTACGTAACACCATATCAGTATTTCAATAATCTTATCCACTCATATCGCTGACAACGATATAACTGCCTCAAACTTTTATTACACGCTGAAGTAAACCGCTTAGCAGCTGAGCTGCTTCAATAAATGTGATGTAACATGAATAGGGAAAAGTTACAATAAAGTAACAGATTCCTTTACATTTACATTACATTACATTTCAATGAATCCCATTAGGCAGGATTAGGCTGCAGATTGACGAGGGCGGCATTTTCTAAACCGACCAAGATGTACCTTCAACTACACATAAAACCTCACATAATTCTGCCCAAAAACCATGACAATGTCTCTCAACCAGTGGCATATGGGCTTTTTAGGTGAGCGTTGCACCCCCACTTTTGCAGGGGTGCAAAATATTTTGCTGGTCCATTCCCAGCGCGCCTCTCCAGGGCGCTGTTGGAGAGACAGCACCCCACCAACTTTCCATAAAAATGTTTATCTAACATAAATCATGTAGCAGATAAAGGATATGGTAGAAAGAGCATGTGGCCTTTTCTGTAGCCTACAGGCTGGAGATAAAATGTATGACAATGTAATGAGACAGACACTTTTTACATCATGCAGGTTTCTCCGATCAAATAGCCTAACCTAAATGGCGCTCAAAATGATCTGTAATGTTAACAAACATATCCTATAAACAGGACTGTTCAAAGTAAAATGGACAATATGCAATGGACAATCACAGGAGTTTCACCCCATTGTCATGATCAGTTTTCAGTGGTTTGGACTAGCTGATCATAGCAAATAAGAAAATACTTTTGCATTTCCCGCTGTGTAAACACATTGCAAATAGGCTCATGATGACTCATGTTAAAGCTGGGTAGTTGATATTCAGAGCTTAAATAGCCAAACTGATTAGTCACAGGAACCAGGACTAATAAAGCCAATGTAACGGCCTGTTTAACAAACGGATGGGCATTTATAAAATCCTTGTCACGCCCTGGCTCGGGGGACTCTCGTATGTTGAGCCAGGGTGTTAGTTTCTATGTTTTGTTGTGGGTCTAGGTTATTGTATTTCTTTGTTTGAGTGACTCCCAATCAGAGGTAACGAGTGTCAGCTGTTGGCTCGTTGTCTCTGATTGGGAGCCATATTTAAACTGTCTGTTTTCACTTTGTGTTTTGTGGTTTCTTGTTCTAGTTGGGTTGTGTTAAACTGTAGACGTCACGTTTTCGTTTGTTATTTTGATCGTGTGATCATTTATATAATAAAAGATGTTCGCATTCAACGCTGCGCATTGGTCCTCATCCTTAGACGATCGTGACAGAAGAAACCACCAAGATGTGACCAAGCAGCCTGTCCAGGAGCCATCGCCAGGGAGATCCCTCACAGATCTCCTTCGCCTCCTGGACTGGGTCAAGCCGAGTGAGGAAGAGAAGGGCTTGACATTATGGCAGAAGGGCGAAAGGCTGGCGAGGGACATGGAGACCTGGTCCACGGGTAGGAGAGACGCCCCGAAAATTTTTAGGGGGGGGCTCACGACGTCGGACCAGCAGGAGGCCGCGATAGAGCGGCCCAGTGGGTTGCCGGAGAAGGCCGCCGGGTTACGGGGGCCACTGGTCGAAGAGGGGATGGAGGAAGTAGAGGCACGGCGAGAGGTACTGGCGTGTGTTGCCAGTCCGGTCCGGCCCGTTCCAGATCCCGGTGTAGGGCCAGTGGTGTGTGTCCCCAGTACAGTCCGGCCCATCCAAGCTTCCCGCACCAAGCCAGTGGTGTGCGTCGTCAGTCCGGCACGGCCCGTGCCTGCTCTCCGCACCAAGTCTATGGTGCGTTTCGTCAGTCCGGCACGGCCCGTTCCTGCTCCCCGCACCAGGTCTGTGGTGCGCGTCGCCAACCCAGTCTGGCCCATTCCTGCTCCCCGCACCGAACCTGCGGTGTGCGTCGACAGCCCGGCTCTGCCCGTTCCTGCTCCCCGCACCAGGTCTGTGGTGCGCGTCGCCAGCCCAGTCCGGCCCATTCCTGCTCTCCACACTAGGTCTGTGGTGCGCGTCGCCAGCCCGGTCCGGCCCATTCCTGCTCTCCGCACCAAGTCTATGGTGCGTTTCGTCAGCCCAGTCCGGCCCATTCCTGCTCCCCGCATCAAGTCTGTGGTGCGTCTCGTCAGCCCGGCTCTGCCCGTTCCTGCTCTCCACACCAGGTCTGTGGTGAGCGTCGCCAGCCCAGTCCGGCCCACTCCTGCTCCCCACACCAAGCCAGTGGTGTGCGTCGTCAGTGCAGCACGGCACGTGCCTGTTCCACTGGAGCCGGATCCGCCGCCTAGGCGGAGTGCCCACCCGGTCCCTCCCCTGTTGTGTTTCGTTGGCGCGGTCGGAGTCCGCGCCTTTAGGGGGGGGTACTGTCACGCCCTGGCTCGGGGGACTCTCGTATGTTGAGCCAGGGTGTTAGTTTCTATGTTTTGTTGTGGGTCTAGGTTATTGTATTTCTTTGTTTGAGTGACTCCCAATCAGAGGTAACGAGTGTCAGCTGTTGGCTCGTTGTCTCTGATTGGGAGCCATATTTAAACTGTCTGTTTTCACTTTGTGTTTTGTGGTTTCTTGTTCTAGTTGGGTTGTGTTAAACTGTAGACGTCACGTTTTCGTTTGTTATTTTGATCGTGTGATCATTTATATAATAAAAGATGTTCGCATTCAACGCTGCGCATTGGTCCTCATCCTTAGACGATCGTGACAATCCTATTGCTGGCCGACATGGTAGGCTACATCCCAGCAAGCACGAGCCAACGTCTTTTGGATGACATATTTTTGGTCATGTACGGATGTCGTTTTTTGGTGTTTTACAAAGGGTAGACTTACTACTGTTGAAGTCGGAAGTTTACATACACCTTAGCCAATTTAAACTCAGTTTTTCACAATTCCTGACATTTAATCCTAGTAACAATTCCCTGTCTTAGGTCAGTTAGGATCACCACTGTATTTTAAGAATGTGAAATGTCAGAATAACAGTAGAGATAATTATTTATTTCAGCTTTTATTTATTTAATCACATTCCCAGTGGGTCAGAAGTTTACATACACTCAATTAGTATTTGGTAGCATTGCCTTTAAATTGTTTAAATTGGGTCAAACGTTTCGGGTAGCCTTCCACAAGCTTCCCACAATAAGTTGTGTAAATTTTGGCCCATTCCTTCTGACAGAGCTGGTGTAACTGAGTCAGGTTTGTAGGCCTCCTTGCTCACACACGCTTTTTCAGTTCTGCCCACACATTTTCTATAGGATTGAGGTCAGGGCTTTGTGATGGCCACTCCAATACCTTGACTTTGTTGTCCTTAAGCCATTTCACAACTTTGGAAGTATGCTTGGGGTCACTGTCCATTTGGAAGACCCATTTGCAACCAAGCTTTAACTTCCTGACTGATGTCTTGAGATGTTGCTTCAATATATCTATATCATTTTCCTTCCTCATGATGCCATCTATTTTGTGAAGTGCACCAGTCCCTCCTGCAGCAAAGCACCCCCACAGCATGATGCTGCCACCCCCGTGCTTCACAGTTGGGATGGTGTTCTTCGGCTTGCAAGCCTCGCCCTTTTCCCTCCAAACATAACGATGGTCATTATGGCCAAACAATTCTATTTTTGTTTCATCAGACCAGAGGACATTTCTC